TGTGTGTGTGTGTGTGTGTGTGTGTGTGTGTGTGTCCTGTTTCTACCTTCCAAGACTGGAATTACAGGTGGCGGCCACACCCGCCCAGCATTTACTTGGGTTCTGGGATCAGAACTCTGGCCTTACACTTGAATGGCAAGCACTCTGATGGCTCCTCAGCACCAACCCCAGCCTTCTCAGTGTTCGCTGCTCAGAGTGACTGTATTTGAACAGTGAGTATATACTCTAGTGATATTTTGTTAATTTAAATACATGCTTAAGGGGGATGGAGCAATGGCTCAGTGGTTAAGAGCATATACTGCTCTTGCAGAGGACCTGAGTTTGGCTCCTAGCACTATGCAGTGTCTCACAACTGCCTGTGACTCTAACCCAGGCGATTTTACTGGCCTCCACAGACATGCAAGTGTACATACTTTAAAAACATAAAACTAAACAATAAACATACTGAGAGTGGCTTTCCAGAGCCCACCACATCCTAGCTGAATTTAGGGGAAGGCAAGCAGAAAAGCGCCTGTACCTCTTTGAAAGCAGCCATTTGCTTCTGGATTCGGTTCACAAAACGCCATTGTATCACAAGGCTAGGAGGAGGAAAAAAAAAAAAAAAAATCAAAACATTTCCACCCACATCCAAACCAAGAAGCAATTTTAACACGTGTTAATTCTAGCTAGGAACAGACAGACTAGCTGGAACTATGGCGAAAGCTGAAGAGCAGCAGGAAGGACTGAGGGGTATTGTTTCTAAGAAAATTGAGATTCTGGCCACGGGAGAACAAGGAACAAGTTAAGGAAAGTCTTAAAAAAAAAAAAAAAAAAAAAAAAAGGCACAGAACTGTGTCTAGGAAAATACTTACTAAATATACTCCTTCTTGTTCTTATTGGTGACAACGATCTCTGATCCACCAGTTTTCAGTTCATGTTGATGTGTCTAAATTAAACAGGATATGTTGTTTTAGTGAGGAAAATGAAAAAAATGAAAAAGTGTACATGAGTTACACCAGAAGCCTGGTGTTTTAAATTAAATCCACTCAAAAGCTAAAAGCTAAGAAAACTTAAATATTAGTTTTACTAAAATAAATACAGAATGAGTCAAATATCAAAGCAAATGCAAATGCTGGCTGAGAGACAGCTTTTGCTACCAGTAAAAGCAGTGCACAGAAGTGTCTCGGGTGTGTACTGATGACTACACTTAGGTGACAGCATTGATTTTGCAAAAATGTTCTATCTGAAAGTCTACAAACCTGTCCAAAAAGTTCTTCATCTATGATAAATCTCAGGTCCAGCTCTGTCGGGTCATTTTCAAGAATCCATCGCAGTGAACTGTAATATTCACTATCCTAGAAGGGAAATTACATTTTAATTAATTAATTAATTAACCAATTTTGCAGTGCTGGGAATTGAACGAAGGATCTTGTACATCCCAGGATAGTGCTCTACCATAGAGCTGCACAGAAAAACTGCACATAAAAAAATAAAAAAAGTTTGTATACACAAAGGCACCTGACCGAGCATAACAACCACATTGGTGGCGCTGGGGAGATGGCAGTCAGTGAAGAGCTTGCTTCACAAGCTCAAGGACCTGAGTTTGGATCCCTAGCACCATAAAAAAAGCTGGGCACAGGGCATTCACCTGAGATGCCAGCCCTAGGGAGGTGGAGACAGGAGAATACCAGGAGCTCAATGGTCAGCCAGCCTGACCAAGTCAGTTCAATGAGAGACACTGTCTCAAAGAATAAGATGGAGAAAAATGGAAAAGACATTGACATGCTTCTGCCTTCCACAAGTGTACACACACTATACATATATACACATGCACATACCACACATAGAGCTTGTGAGACAGCACACACAATACCAAAGACCTGGTTAATTGGGGGAAAAGATAAAATGTGACTTGGATATCTTTACCATGCACACCTTAACATCTTTCAAAGGGAGTGATGGAGCTGAGCTGCACAAGGGAAAACACACCAGTCGGTAACATGGTGCCTACTTCTTTTTGTGCAAGCAGTGGTTGTAGTGACTTTTTACTGTCTAATCATAGGGTTAAGTAAAACATTTTCCACATAAAACTTTTTCATGGATTTCCAGACACCTCCCTCCTAGGATTGTGAGATGGTACTTGAAATGTCTGAGTTCACTGCTGACCCACACTAAACAAAAATTTCAAATTAAATATAAAATCTTAACCAACCCCCAAAGAATCATGCTAGGGCAGAGGATGTTGCCCAGCTGGTGGTACTTCCTAGCATGGGCAAACCATGGGTTTGTTCCCTAAAAGAGCATACAATGGGTATGGTAGCAAACCCCTGCAATCCCAGCACGCAGATTATAGAAGCAGCAGGCTCCAACTCATCCCTAGCTACCTGGTGAGTTTGAGGCCAGCCTATGCTCCACGAGACCCCGTCTAAACAACAAAAACCACAATGAATTGTCAACTAGGATCTGGAGATATGGTTCAGTGGGTAAGAGCTCTGGCTAACTCAAAGAGGCCTGAGATTTCCTTTCCAACACCCGAATGGCAGCTCACAATCATCTGTTATTCCAGTTCAGGGAAGCCAGCGTCATCTCCTGGCCTCTGAGGGCACCAGACCTACATGCAGGCAAAATGCTTACATGTATAAAATAAAAATAAATACATCTTTTTAAAAAATCATACTGTTTGTACCAATAAAATATATCCAGAAGAAATAACGATATACTTAGTGCTAAAGACCTGACCTTGGAACACACCTGCATTCACACCGAACGTCCTTCAGCTTCTGTTTCTTTACAGGAGCCACCACAATACCCTGCCTCTGGAATGCCAGCTTTAAGCATTTGTCATCATCACAAACAATTATAACTCAAAACCTAACGAAAAAGATATGTTACTATTGTATGGGATAGAAGAACCTAGCGAGGTCTGGCAAGATGCCTCGGGGTAAAGGCAACTGCCACCAAGCATGATGGCCTAAGTTCAATTGCTTGGATCCACATGACAGAATGAGAAGTGACTCCTACTAACTGTCCTCTGACTTCCACAGGTGTTCCATGAACACTCGATGCTCCCCTCCCCCAAATAAATAAATGTAATAAAAATACACATAAATTTAAAAATTTAGCAGCAAGTCAGCCACAGAGCTGGCTAAACCTGATGAACAGGGTTCGATTCCTGAATCCACACGATGGAGGAAAGAACTGACTCCCTTTCTACGTGGGTGCCTAAACAGAAAATAATTCAGCAAGTGTAACTATAGTTGCAATGCACGAAAAATCTAAGATGCATTGATAGACTCAGGAACAGGAATAGAGTTGGTGTGTGATGGACACAGGTGTGAAGTAGGAAAAGGATGCATCACAGAACAAGTGGGCAATGGCTATGAACACACTCACTGCAAAGTTCTTCCTGGAGCACTATATGCTGGAAAATGTTCATGTGTGTATTTTTGTGTGTAAATGACCGTGTATGGTGTGTGTGTGTGTGTGTATGTGTGTGTGTAATTACACATCAACTGAGCACACGTGTCCTGTCCTGCTGTCACTCTCCACTTTATCCCAAAGACACAGAGTCCCTGTCTGACCCTCGAAGTGAGCTCGTGGGCAGCAAACACTAGAAATCCTCCAGCCTCCCACAGTACTGAGGTTACTGAAACCCAAACAGTCATGACCGGGTTTTTATGTGGAGAGAAGACATAAACTCAGGTACTTGAGCTTGCCCAACAAAGGCTCTTACCAATCGGGCCACCTCCTCAGGCTCCTTTTACATTTTGAAACATTAAAATTTATTAATTTCTGTTTTTAAAAACAAATTATCTGGGCTGTGTGAATAGCTTACTGGTACAGCACCAACTCAGCCATGTGCAAGGCCCTGGGTTCAACCCCCAGCACTGTGAAAACCACCACCCTGACCCCAATTCCCCAAGCCTATTAAGTCATACATTTTCCAGCGTGTGAGAGACCTACCACAGACTCCATGTCATGCAGGGTTATCAGCTTCTGAAGCATCATCTTGTAAAAGGGGCGGATGAAAAAGCCTTGTAAGAAACAAAATATATTAAGATGATTAACAATTAAAAAAACAAACAAACAAAAAAAAAACAAAATAAAAACCCCACATTAAAAAGGTCTGCATGTTGATGCTAACCGTCCAGCAGCTTGCCATGATAAACAGCCATTCCAGCCACACGACCAATGAACTTGAAGTAAGAGAGGTGATCTTCATTACACAGGCCCGAGTTTGGATTTATCTGGAGGGTGTAATTATCCCTGTAAAGACAAGCCACATTTATGTGATCCTCTCGAAATTTCATAGAAAAAAAATTTACTTAGGCAAGTGATTATGAAAATTTCCCCTTTTGTTATTTTTCTCTACTAAAACTAATGGATCTGATAATGGTCTTTAAAAAAAAAAACAAAAAACTCCATTTCTGTTAAAAGATGGAAATAACCCCAAAGGACAGGTAAAGGAATAGGCAAAACCTTCAGATTTATATGTTCAAAAGACAAAGAGAAAACCCTGACACTTGGTATAACATGGCTGGAATCTGAAGATTGGCTGTTGTACAACAATTTCCTCTGAAATGAATTCAAATACTCCCTCCTGTGGGGCTCCTAAGACTCAGGAAGTGGGGCTGGAGAGATGGTTAAGTGCTGAAGAGCACTGAAACCAGGGGGTTGGATTTCCAGAACCGGTGTGGCAGCTCACAACCATTTATAACTCCAGTTCCATGGATCTGATGCCCTCTTCTGGCCTGTGAGGGTACTGCATGCACATGGTGCATAGTTATACATGCAAACAAACATCTATACACACTAAATGAAATAAAAAACAAAGACAGACCCAGGATGTTATCAAAACTTACAAGATACACAAAGCCCTCTCCTGGTTAGGAAAAGCAGCAATCCCTGGGGAGAATGCTGACTAACTGAGCTACCTGAAGTCATGCCTTGTGGGGCATCACCCATGCTAGGGTGGGCTTCTCGGTTACCCAGCTGCCTTTGAGTCATCCAGGATGCTGCAAGAGTCCCTCACCTGTCTTCTGAAAGTAATCCAAATAATTTCACTGGTTTGCCTCCTTGGGCTTTGGCTGAATCCTAACTTGGTCTGTTCTCAGCTCCCTATCTGGGGTGAATAGGTTTGTTCATGTTTCCCAAGGAAATGTCACTTGACATATGCGAAGTGCAATAATGCATATACCGAGCCCAAATGCTGTTTGCTTCCATTCATTTAATGTAACTACAATAGTCAGATTCAGAGAGAATGCACTGATGGTTGCTAGGAGGTGGGGGTGGGGTGGGGAGGGATCCAAGTGTTTACTAGATGTAGACTTATTTCAGGAGAATGGAAAGGTACAGAGTTCAATGATGCAGAATGGACTTGAAATGCCAGTGTGTGCTTACAGAGAGCTGGGGTGGGAGCTCCGTGGAGAAGGGCCCCAATCATGTGCAATCCAATCAGAGTGCACAGAAACACATAGTTTGACACACTGGTTAGTCTCCCTGTGACACCAATCATGTAGCTCATCAACTCAACTCTGGAGACTGATTCCTGCCCACCCCACCTTCTGTACGTGATCATTTAAAGGATTTATGCCAGGTGCAGTGGCACAAGCCTACATAGCCTTAGCTAGTCAGGAGGCTGAGGCAGGAGGATTGCTTAAGCCCAAGAATTCAAGGTTAGCCTGGGAACACAGTGAGTCCTGGTAACAAGGAAGGAACTTACGTAGCAGAATATTCAAAGAGCCCGTAATAAGGGTTAAACATTTCCTTTGAAATGAGGAAGAACCATTCTCGAGCAACTCCTCCATAATCAAGTCCCTTTTCACCATCGAACTCAATCCAGAGTCGAGCCTTGAGGAAGTCGGCTTTCTTGACACCCATAATTCTCCGGTAAGAGTCCTCCAGAATATTTGCACGGCGAAGCTTCATTTCAAATTTGTTTGGAATGTCGTTCTGCTGAGCCAGGGAGAGACACATGGTTTAAATCATCCCAGCATGTTTACCACACTCCATTCTATGCCAGCAGCCCTTTTCCTTTTAAGTAAAACCATCAGGAAAAACCCACTCGGGCACACTGACCTTTCTCCCCTGCTTCAAGAAACAGGGTCCATTCTTGTCACCTAGGTTAGCCATGCACTTGCTATCTAGCTTAGGCTAGCCTCAGCAACCCCTTCCCCCTTACAGGCATATGTTCTCACATCTACCCTGGATGTATGGTCTTAACATGGTCTCTAGTGGCAGAATGTAGGCCTTTCCCCCTAAGCATTTCTGCTTATTTATCTAAAGGAGCTATAACTGGTGAGAGTAAACCCAAAGGCATTTTGCCAGTAATGAGCTCCATGTTGTTACAGTTAAGTCATTCTGCCCTCAAAGCTCCAGCTATTCACCTACTGCTAGCTACTCACTACCTGCCTGTCCTTACTCCCATACCAGGCACTACATCTGATGGGTTCATTCATCCATGCTTCAAAACAAGACTACAATAAGCCACCATCTGTTTTAACATCAGAAACTACAGACAACAGAAATTGAAACAGTCTGACTTCCCAGCCTCAGCTCTTAATGGAGGACACTTGGCTCCCTCATCTCTTGTACACCTGTGCTTCAGAGACCAACGAAGGTAACTCTGCCTCAGGTCCCACTGTAAATACTATAGTGTGTTTCATCCCATTTGTGTACAACCGTCAAGTGGGTACTGTTGGAAGAGAAGCTCTCCTCTACTGTCAGCTCAAAGACAGACAGACAAGTCCTTAGGAGGAGACACACCACTCTGTAGTAAATTTAGGGAAAGCAGAAAGCCCCACGGAAACATAATAGAAACAACTCACAGAAGCAACATAGGCATCCTACTGGTTTCCCCTGCTGCTCGTGCAAGTTAAACAGTGGTAGGATTAGAGAAAAGTGGTTTTTAAAAGACTAATTACCAGGGGGCCGGAGAGATGGCTCAGCAGTTAAGAACACTGGAGTCTTTATCCCAGAACCCACTAAGGCCACTCACAACTGTCTGTAACTACAAGATATGACACCCTCACACAGACATACACGTAGACAAAACACCATTGTACATAAAAGTATTATTAAAAACAAAAACAACTAGTTACCAGGTGACTGGTGCACATGGCATGTAAATAAGTGTCCCGCTCTGGGACAGGCGCCATAGTGGAGGCAGGAATGGGAAAAGAGAACTAAAATTGGGGTGTCAGATGTACTTTCTCAAGAACTGTACGGTATAGTGTGGGTGGAGGAGACTGTAAATAGAGTCAAACTACAGGAACTCTCAGTGGGAGTATGCAAGAGTGAGCTCTTGGTGTGGGCTCCAGGCCAGACAATTTCAAAACACCGCTGATGTATTTATTTATATTTAAATTTTGGGGTATTGTGTGTGGGTGTATGTGCAGGTCAGAGGTCAATATTCAATGTCTTCCTCAATTGTTCTTTGCCTTTTTCTTTTGTTTTTGGGTTTTTTTTTTTTGTTTTCTGAGACAGGGTTTCTCTGTGTAGCTCTGTAGAGCAGGCTGGCCTTGAACTCACCAAGATCCACCTGTCTCTGCCTCCCAAGGGCTGGGTCTAAAGGTGTGCACTACCACTGACTGGCTTCATTTATTTTCTTTTGTGATATGTTTTCACTATGTAGCCCTGGAATTCTCTATGTAGACTAGGTTGCCTTTGAACTCAAGAGATCTGCCTGACACTGCCTCTTGGGTGGCTATCTACCCATCTCCCTCGTTAAATGCTTTAAAATCAGAATGCCTAATTAATTTAGACAAAAAGCTATCCTTTAAGGATATCATCAAAGCTCCGGAGCATTTAAAGTCCTTTTCAATTTAAAAATTCTATTGCGGAATATAATATTTAGTATTTTATTTTGTTAAATTTGTGAAAAACTCTGGTATCCAACCCACCATTTTGAATCACTTGAAGCCACCAGCCTGGAGCCCTACAAAGTACAACCCAACATTGCCACCTAGTGGCCATGCTCCTCAACTGTAGGGAAAGGAGGGAGGGACCAGCACATGAGGAAGGCATTTAAAATGTTAGTTACACCAAAGGATGGGCAGATGAATTTAATTCTGAACATACTTGCAGTTTGGTGACAGAAGAAAGTGTAATGAACATATCTGCCGAACATAAGGAAATAAGTAACAATACCACCATTTGCCCTTTCCGTTCACTGTTAATTTTTAAATTATGAGGAAATGTGTTGTATTTAAAGCCGTGAAGAATGGACGGATGGCTATAAACACTTAGTGTGGTAAAGGAATCCAGAAATCTCAAGCACAGTCATGGGGCTGGAGATGGCTTAGTGGCTTAAAGAGGACCCAGATTCAAACCCACATGGTGGCTCAACTACTCTTAATTCCAGGTTCAGAAACCCAGCACCCTCTTCTGGACTCCACACCAGATCAGACACACATGTGGCACCTATGCATGAGTGTCCGAAAAACATTTACACACACAGAATAAAATAAATCAATCTTTAAAAAAATAACTTAAAACTTCTTTAAAACACAACCCCTTTCCTTATGAGGAAGTGACCTCTCAGCCCTCAAACAGAGCACCATACTCCAGACCCCCAGAGAATGGCGATGATGCTTGAGGCTGTTACAGTGTCACTAACCTGTTTCTTCAGCTTTCTTCGGAAGAACTCGTACTTCCTTTTGTAATCCCTGGAGTAGGGCACTGCCTTTAGTTGAAAAATTTGGAAAAACAAAGTTTAGGCTTTATTCTGGAGCAGTGTTACATTAGTTCCCCCTGAATATCTTATGAATATACACAAAGAAAGAATTATTTGAAAATTAATGTTTCATTTAAAGAAAAGCAAACAGAAAATTTAAAATAAGTCTTTTTCAAGATACAATTGCATTCAGTAGTTACTGTGGCTGCAATTTCTTCATGCATTTTTTTTTTCTTTCTTTTAAAGACTGTCTCTGTATGTATCTCTGGTCACCCTTGAACTCTACAGGCTAGCCTCAGCTTAAAGAGATCCATCTCCTCTGCTTCCTGAACTCTGAGATTAAAGGCATGTACCACCACTCCCAGCTCATAAAAAATTCTTAAAATGCAACATTCCAGGGGCAAAGTTAAGTCTTTCAGGTAGAGAAAATGTAGAAACAAAAATTTCTACTTCTGAAAAGGCTGTGAAAGTGCTTTCTTCACTGAAGGAACTATTGAAAAATGAATTTTTCCTTGAACTCGCAGGAATTCCCCTTCTTACTCGTTATTTTAAAAGACACATGCTGAGATACTAGACACTAATCTAAAAAACCTTTTGTAAATTAACAAAATCTGAAGGAAAAAAATGGGGAAAGTAGCTATATATATAAAACAGCGATTTTCCTATAGCTGATCTGACTCAAGGGCAGTATAATCATTTTTTACAAAATATGAATAGGGTTTAATAGTGGGCCTTTGCAAGGCTGACTAAAAATCACTCATCCTGACTCAAGTTGGCCCCTTTCTGGTTTGCACTGTTTTTAGATTGGTAGATTTCAGCCTAGGCCGAGTAGTTTGCTGCCCCAGCCTCTGACTGTATCTCAAGTTTGTGGTGTGCAGTAAAAATGGTTTCACACCATCTTTTCAAAGAAAAGAGTAGGCACAGTGAGGAGAGAGGGGAGGCCAGCGGAGGCTGTTCTTCTCAGTTCTACTCTTGACCTAGAGGCCAGGATGAGGAGACTCACTGGTCCAGTTGTTGCCACGTTCTGAGTGCGAGGATCTTCCCACTGTGTCTTTTTTGTATCTAAGAGGGAAAAGAAAAGAGATGTTCCTCTTCCTCATGTTTACAACCCAGTACTACAAAGAACTACAATAGAGAAGTCAGACAGTACGTACTGTGATTTATATAGAAGACTCTTCCATCTGTGTGGGTTCTTTCTTCCCATCCAGGCTGTAATGAAACATTTGTTGCAATTATTTTAGCACCAGGCCTTAAGTGGACAGGTTATTTAAAAAGAACCCCCGAAACCCAAATAAGCAAAAATATTCCCAACAAATTGGCATTAGCTGTATGCTTAATTTGCATATATCATTTTTCGCAGAAGGTATCATGAGTTTAATAATAACAATAACAATGTTAATTATAGTTAATAACTCCTATATTTGAAGGTACAAAAGCATCTGAGTTAGTTGTCAGCTCAGCAGCAGAACTTACAGGTAAAGGTCCCAGGTCATTGTCCACTGGTGTCTTTGCTCTCAGATGAGCAGGGATCTTCGATCTTGGGTCTTCCTTTATTTGGTTAAGTCACAAATAAAACAACAGACATATTTTAAAACGAAAAGTCATATACTACAGTTGTTCTGTGAAGTCAACGGATATTTAAAATACTCTCTTTGGAGTTGGAGAGACAGCTCAGTGAGGAAAGCATTTGCCATGAAAGAGTGCGGACCGGAGTCTGGATCCCCTGAACCCATGTAAATGCCAGGTCAGCACCATGGTCCATTGTAATTCTAGTCTTGGATGGAGGAGAGGGGATCCCAGGGCAAGCTGGCTAGGTAGACTAGTGGCACAGACAAGCTGTGGGCTTCAGTGACAGAGCCTGCCTTATCAATTTACTAGAAGAACAATGGAAGATGATTTCTGGCATCAACCTCAGGCCTCTACATGGGTGCACACATGCGCACATACACTCACAGGCAGCAAGCTCACATATATACACACATTCAGCACACATAAAACATGCACACACACATATAAATGAAAATGGACCACATCTGGGCTGGTGAGATGGCTCAGCATGCTGAGGTAGCTGCTACCAAGCCTGACAACCTGAGTTTGATACTTGAGAACCACATACATGAACAGACTCATACAAGTTGCTCTCTGATCTCTACACACATACTGTGGCACACATACATGTACACATACAGGATAAATAAATGCAATGGTATAATCAAACAAACAAATGAATAAATAAATAGGGCCATATGTTGTGGTATCTATTTGGGCATTGATTTATGATTTTTTTTTGAAAGGGAGGAGGGTAGCCTAAAATGAAAATAAATAAGATCAATTTACATCTTAAAAAGACAATAAAGTTAAATTTATTTGGATTAATTAGTGTATAATTTAATATTATTATATTAGTCAAGTTATTAAGCTCTTTTAGATTTGTTTCAGCTATGGTGACCTTTTAAAATAGTTACTAAGTCTCGAGTTTTATGTTTGGAGAACTTTTGTTGGTGATGAGCTAAACATCAAACAACTTTAAAATGTAAACTAAAAATAACAGGACTCAGCAATTAAGAGCACTGGCTGTTCTTTCAGAGGACCCAGTTTTGAATCTCAGCACCCACGTGGGGGCTCACAACCATCTGTAACTCTTATTTATTCTAGGGGATCTGACACTCTCTTCTGGCCTCCATGGGTGCACAGGCAGTCAGACACATAAAATAATGTAAATAAACTCTAACAACAGCAGCAACAACACAATATCGTCCTGACTAGCTTGGCAGAGTCTTTCTGATAATATTAATACATGAGATAGAAGTTTGAAAGAGTGTGGAAAATAGAAAAAGTTTCAGGGGCTGGAGAGATGGCTCAGAGGTTAGGAGCACTGACTGCTCTTCCAGAGGTCCTGAGTTCAATTCCCAGCAACCACATGGTGGCTCACAACCATCTATTATGAGATCTGGTGCCCTCTTCTGGTGTGCAGACATACATGGAAGCAGAATGTTGTATACATAATAAATAAATAAAATCTAAAAAAAAAAAGTTTCATAAAAGAAAATAGAAAAAGTTTCATATAAAGGTAAAAAAATATTACTAAAAATCTTTATGACTAGTGAGCCAAAAGCTGGAAACAGGAAATAACTGTGAACACCTCCATAAAAATCTAACAATCTCAAAAAGAAGCATAAATATACTTTGACTACAAATAATATTATTAAGACTCCCTGGAGCTGGAGGTGTGGCTCAGTTGGAAAACACCTAAATGCACAAAGCCCAGGCTTCCATTCCCAGCAGAAACAGCACCTCAAATGTGTGGGACTTGGGCAGTGGAGGCAGGAAGACCAGGAGTTAAGTTCAGGTTCTGTTATACAGCAAGTTTTAGGAAAGCCTGGACTACATTAAGACCATAGCTCAAAAAACAAGAACAAATCTAACCCACAAACCCAGACTTCTGCATGCGATTCACTGACTGTTAGGTAGTAGACGCAGAAGCAACAGCTGCCATGAATTTAAAGTGAGGAGCATGGAAGTTACCCAGGTGGTGGCCTTGGTGTTGTGGTCAATAAAGAAAGGCCTCCCATTTGGTGCATGCTGGACTTCCCAACCTTTGGGAAGGAATCCTTGCATAGTGTCAGCCGGTGGACTCGCCTGTTGAGCGGGGCCACTGGAGAGGAGCTGTGGCTGAAGGCCTGCAGAACTCTGGCCCGAAGGCAGCTGAATAGTCTCCGCTGTGGCCTGGTATAATAATTAAGCCATACTATAAAACTAAAAAGAGAGCTCAAAAATAAAGAATATAATTAAAATAGCTCAACCCGTGAAGACAAGGTACACTTGTAAACCAGTCCTGAGCGTTTGAGGCTAACTCCTAAAGATTTTTTTTATTATGTGGAGGTGGTGCGTGTGTCTGTATGGATATGAGAGCAGGGACCTGTGGAGAGGCTAGAGGTAGTGGATTCCCTAGCGCTGGAGTTACAGATGATGGTGAGGCCCTGATGTGGGTGCTGGACCCGAACTTGAGTCCTCTGGAGAGCAACAAGTGCTCTTAAATCACTGAGCCATCTCTCCAAGCCCAAATCAACAACATTTTAATCTTTTTTCCCCCTGAATAATAAATAAAGTTTTGTTTTTTTTTAACCAAACTTGGTTTTTATAATAATCTAGTTAACTAATTTATAATAATTTTCTCAGCTAATAAACACAAAGTAAGATGACTGTTAACTGCTGCAGGTGCATCTGCCCCGGGAGCCATAGCCACCAGCCTGTGTAGCAGAGCTGCAAGGAGGGAACAGTATCTAGGTCAGAAAGCTAGCTTTCCTGCTAAGATTCACAGTGGGAACACCCCAGCAAAGGTGCTTGCTGCCAAGCCTGAGGACCTGAGTTTGATTCCCCAGAACCCACATGGCAGAATGGCAGAAGGAGAGGACCAACTCCAGGATGTTGTCCTCTGACCCCCCCTCCCCCGCCCCAGATACAGATTACACAGACCCTGTGGTGTCCACCTTCCTTAAATAATAAATGTAGAAAGAAAAAAAAAATCAATGAAAGAAACAGTGATAACATAAACATGTCATCAGTCTGCTACAAGGAAGAGGTCACAGTTATAAACTTCCTTAAAAAACGTATGTATTTTATTTTATACGGGTGAGTGTTTTGCTTACATGTATGGCTGTGCACCAAGTGCATGCAGTGTCCATGGAGGTGGAAAGAAGGTGTCAAGTCTTCTAGAACTGGAGTTATGAATGGTTATGAGCCACCCTTAGGTGCTGGGCATCCAACCTGGGTCCTCTGAAGAGCAACAAGTGCTCTAAAGCACTGAATCAACTCTTCAGCCCCATAATTATAAATTTCTTTCACAGATACCCATCACCAAGCTATCTGAACAAGAGCCCAGCGAGATGCCTCTGGATAAAGTGCTTGCCATGGTGTGAAGATCAGAGTTCAGACACACACACACACACACACACACACACACACACACACACACTCCCCAAAACAACAGTCATGCAATGGAATAGATCATCACTTTGTTCTCCTGGCCCCGAAAAGATTTGCTTCAGGTAATGACATATACTGGAGTCCACAGGAGACGGCAGAACAAACAGGTGACACTAGGAGTGTGCAGCCCGAGCTCGCCAAGAAAGCTGTAAGACAAGCTAAGAGTGCAGAGTACCTGCATGGTGGGCTTGGCCCATGTGGTTGTTCTAGAATTGTGGTCTACGTAGTATGACCGTCCTTTTTCATCTTGTTTTTCTTCCCAACCTGGTGGCAATCCAGATGAAGTAGGCAAAAGCTAATGCGTAACAAAAAAACTCCATGTTAACCGGGGAGAGCTCCTGAAGGGAGCTCCTGGCCTTTCCACTGCCAGCTCGGAAATGATCCTTATTTTATTTTGAACTAAAACCACTCATCACAACAAAAAATGGACAGATGATACATTTTAAATTTAGAACAATGGACTTCGTTATTAATTTAAATAATATTAAAAAAAAAAAACAAAAACCCAGCAATTTCACTTGGGAAGAAAAGAAAACAATGAAAATGATAAAACATGCCAACACAGTAAGTCATATACTTAGGGACACACACACACAGGCACAGGCATACATACATGCGCGCGCGCACACACACACACATACACACAAACTTGATGAGATTATTGCTAACACTGTCCCACTTTGTGGATGATAAATTGAGACTTTGGAAAGGAAATGACTCCTAGGCCAGCGCTTCTAAGAAAAGCAGTTGAGGTGTGAACCAAAGCACACTAACCCTAGAAACCACATTTAAGTGGAGGGAGGCAGAGGCAGGGGTCTCTGTGAGTCTGGGGCAAGCCTGATGTATCAAGTGAGTTCCAGGCCAGCCAGGGACTACACAGTGAGATCTTGTCTCTGCTTACACATGCTCCAGTCTAACAGAGGAGGTCGGACAAGACAGGATGTGGATCCCTAAACAGGATAACAGGGAAGTACCCTGTGACTTCTGTGATTTGTCGTCATGTTGACCAGGCCTGTGGGCTTCAAAGTCAGGTGGGCCCTTATCCTCAGCACAGGGTGGAAGGGATCTGTTGTGGAACAATCCTTTTGTACACTGTAAAAATGTGTTTCTGCCTAAGAAGCCTTTTGATTGGTTTAATAAATAGTTGAATGGCCAATAGCTAGGCAGGAGAGAATAGGTGGCACTTTTGGGGAGAGAGGAACTTGGAAAGATCCTAGGCACACCAACTGTCATTGACACAGAACAAGTCTGACATACAAAATGCAAGAGGTAAAAGCCATGTGGCAGAACACAGATTAACAGAAATGGGTTAATTTAAGTTTTAAGAGCTAGGTGGAAAAAAGCCTATGCTAAAGCTCAAGCTTTCATAATTAATAATAAGTCTCCATTGTCACTTGCAGGCTGGCAGTCCCAAAAGAAAGTCTGACTACAGGAATTCTTTTCAGTAAGGACAAATAAACACTTCTAAGTTGATAATTCTAGAGCCTCAGCATCTCCATGCTGCAATCCCATGAACACACAAACCTCATTCTCATAACTGATACACACTCAAAGGTGCAATGATTGGTGGGAAAGTGAGGACGTACTCCCAAGAGGAGAAGTGGAAAGTGCACAGAGATGAGAGAAGAGAATTAGGATTGGGAGGATAGCCAGGTGTTTGGAAGAAGGCAGACAAGTGTCAAGGCAGGAGGTGGCAGGCAAGGGGAAGGGAGGGCTGAAAAGGCCTCAGAGTTTAAATCTATTTGAAAAGACAAGTGGGGCTGGGTATACAGCTCAGTTGATACAGTTCTTGTCTAGCAAGCATGAAGCCATACGTTTAATACCCAGGACTATGTAAATCAGGCATGGTGGCATATGCCTGTAATTCTAGCACTTGGGAGATGGAGGCAGGAGGATCGGGCATTCAAGGCAGGCCTGGGGCACATGAGATCCTGTAACAAACAAAACAAAAGTGACTACACAAGGCAGTGAGAACTTGGGATGGGGGAAGGGGTCAGAAGGATGACAGAAGTGGGAGAGTTACTGTCAAATGACAGGGGTGGGTCTCTGCTTAACGGTGGACTGAGAACAATGGTAAAAGAGGAGCCAGAAGATGAAAACTCCAACCTGGCCACTGGTACACACACTGGACTGAGAGATGGAGGTCCCTCACTAGACAAGGCACACACAGGGCAGATCGGGCTGTTGGGTGTCATGTCAGTACACAGCTGGTGCTGTGTATCATGTGTAGGATAGCAGTGGCCCATCACCTCCCAGCAGCACAGAGACCAAGCTGAGAAGCCAAATCCTACCCACCAACATCAGCTGAGGGCCTCCTTTACATGAGACAGTTCTCAGAGTTCTGACTTAAGGTTGTTCCTGTGACTCCTCGGTCCCCTGCTGGGCAGCCACTCACACTCAGTGTTGTGATATACAATAGTTTAAAAATGACTGAGTTTTCTGTCTTCCATTCTTGTCTAAGGGGAGAGGAGAGAACTTACCACAGGAAGTGCGGGCTGTTCCTCAAAGATACAGGTTTGCACACTGCCGCTTCTGCCGGAATGATTCTTGGGGGGCAGGAGAGAAACAACACTTTAGGTCTTCCCTCAGAGTGCAGACAAAGAAGTAAGGGTGAGGGTGATGGGGAGGTGAAGACTCATAGGGAGAAAGAAGCCTTCTCTCTCCTCCCTTCACCCCAAAAAGGGCCAGTTCTGTGTGCCCTTTCTCTTGGCCCCTCTGCTGTCCACACTGGACTTCTGTACACCCCATGTACACCTGTGCTAACTCATTGCTTCATCCCACTCAGTCTTTCTATCTGGTGCTCAGTAAATTCACCTTCCCTGATGGCTAGAGTATGGCTCTTCTTCTCCCTAAACCAAATATTCTCACCATTTGTCCCCCTAACTACCCCAGCAGGGACAAGGGCTTCTTGCTGCAGCCAGAGGACTAGAACAAGTCCCCTGGTTCTCTGGCTGAAGCCTTCAACAGAAGGTCAGCTACCACACGGATGTACAGCACCAAACAGTGCTTCCGCCCCGGGGCCCCACCTCTTCCTCATCTCTAGTCACTCAGGTCTCACAGCTCACCACTGGGCATTCCACGACAATGACTTATTTCCTGGAAATCCCATATTCTCTCTTCCCCTTTCCCTTGATATATAAGCTCTACCCACAAACTGAAATACCTTATTTTTGTTATTGACATCAAAACTTACAACCACACATGCATGAATACAGAATATCCCAAACTGTATTGTTTATATTAACACAGATGGTTAAACAATCTAAGTCCATCACAACAGGAAAACGGTAGATAATTTCAGGACAACTCGTACAAGAGCCATGCCACAACCTAAGATTGTTTTTGGTGATTTTAAAAGAGGTACATTGATAGTCATGGAAATAGTCCAATTAGCAAGTGAAAAAAAAGCTACCCAAAGGATGATCTCAGGGGGATGAGGGTGAGGCTCAGAGTAGGACACAAGCTCCATATGCGTAAGGCTGAGTTTGATTCCCATACCCAAACCAACCCACTCCCAACACAGAACAGAAACACACATTATAAATAAACCATTTACAATTATGTATAAGGGTTCAAGAGATTGCTCAGCAGTTAAGAGTGCTTACTGCTCTTCCAGAGAACCAGAGTTTGGAATTCAGCACCCATCAGGTGGCCCACAACTACCTGTAACTCCAGCTTCAAGGGATCTGTTCTCTCTGGCCTCCATGAGTATGACACTCATGTGCACAAAACCGTATACAGACACATATAAATCAGTAAAAATAAATCTATAAAATTTTTTTTAAGTATACATGTATGCTTATGAATGTATAGAAAATGTTTAGGACCCCATGTCCCGGGGCATTAATGGTCACTGAGGGGACATAATTACCAATTAAGAAGGAAGAAACATTTATTGTTCTGTAGACCTCAATACTGTCACTGGTGACACTTTTACATGGCCTAAGCATGATGAGTGTATGCCAGCACACCTGGTTTTTATTTCACATAGGTTCTGAGCATCGTACTTAGGGACTCATGTGTGCACTCATGTGTCATCTCACCATTCCTATTCTGTGAATCTGACGAATCCTTTCCCCAGCTGGACAAATTAATTAATTAAATGAACAGGAAACAGAACAGGCAGGTGGAAGAAAGAAAGGGAAAGAGGCAGGTGAACTGATAGTCGTATAGGTAGGTGCATGTAACTGTGTAATGAAGCTTCTTAAAGAAGGTGCTACAAGTTTGCAACCATTGCCCACCAAGATCCAACACTGAATGCTAGTTCCACTAACTGCTCAACTCTGAGACATGGTGTGAACGTGGCTATGGACAAGTAGGAATGGCTGGATTCCAATGACACCTTATTTATGGCAACAGGCAGCTGCAGATTTGGCCCACAGGGCGCAGCAATGACCCCTGAACTACAATGGAAGTCTTGTAAAAGCAAGTAGTTCTGTATGCTTTATTACAGAGTGATTAGTTATTAGTGAGTGATTAGTTATTAGTGTACTTGGCCAGCCCACATGAAATAGTCACTGAATGAAGCTGAGAATGATCAGAGCATCCATAGAAAGTAAACTGCCATCTACTGAACCTGCCTCATGATACAGATTAGAAAAGGCCAGCCAGAGTTTCTCACAGGGGTGGCGTATGCTAGGATGCTTGCTTGCTTCTGGATCCTGCAGACAGCAAGTGAAACCATCAATTCTCATTTGATCTACATGGCTCTTATTTACACGTGTGTACTGGTGACATTTGTGATGTAATGTTAAAACCTCATGGAGGGGATGGAGAGATTGCTCAGCGGCTAAAAGCTCCTTTTTGCTCTTCCAAAGGACCTGAACTCAGTTCTTAGCATCCACATGGTATTTCACAACATTCTGTAACTCTAGTTCTTGGGGATCTGTTACTTACTTCTGGCTTCTTGAATATCAGCCATGATATGTGGTACACATATAATGTAGTCAAAACACTCATGCACTTAAAAATAATTAGAACAAAATAAAACCCCTCATATAATCAAGAGACAGAAGTAGACTCCACCACACAGGAATTGACCTGGTATATACAGGTAAGATCATGACAAGCTCATGATGTCTTCTAAAACGTGTCTAAACACAGGCAAAATAAAAAAACTAGCTGAGCTACAAAACAAACAGCTGCCATCCCCTGGCAAGTGAGTAATCGATCTACATAACTCATCGAGTCTGTGTCACCTCATACGAGATCTCTGATACCCAAGCACGCAGTTCTCTCCACTTCCTGACAGCATCTAGATGGAAATCCTGTCTCCTCAAACCCTCCTTTACAATTACCCAACAAGGAGTCAAAATGCACTGTCCTCCCTCACACCCGCTAACTGACCAAGTGTGTTCTCTCTTGCTGAAATGTACAAGGAAATCAGCTTTTGGTTTCATTGTTTCTGTTCTCAGCGACCACCAGGATTATCCATACTCTACCGCACTACTACTGTTAGTGGAAGGATAAGTGAAAAAACAACCACACTATTAAGTCCCAACATGCATCAATACATGCTATTTAAACAAAGGTTTGCATAAAACATAGCTGCTGAATTATATTTATATGAAATCAGAAAGCCATGACAATATCTAAGATATCTTACTGAGCTGGTGACTGGCTGGCCGGTGGCTGGATTTCCATACACAGCGAGTCTGGTATCTAACTCTTCTGCAAGGCGAACCTGCACATCTATGTGACCCGATGGAGGTGACTGGACAGCCTGACCGCTATACTCAGTGTTGTCATCATCTCGTACAATTTCCCAATTCTAAAAAGAACAGAATCCACTTGAGCCATATGTGCACTCATCCACTGCTGTGGATGTGCTGGAAACCGGAACAAGAGGTTCGTACCTCAGGGGACTCTCGGTTGTCAGCACTATCCACCTCCTCTGATATCTGCCGCCTGGTGGTGAATGCCCGATGTGCCTGTAGCTGAATATTACCGTTCTCAGCATCTGTGAGGTCATCCCTAGGGTGGAAGTGTCACAGTTAGAACCACAACCAAAGACTCTGCAGTTAATAAATACTTCGATTGAAAATTTATTGGTTTTGTTCAAAAGCTGTATCAATACATTGATCATACTGTCAGCACATTGGTACCTACCTGGTTTGGGGGACTGGAGTAGGGGGAGAGAAAGTACCTTGGAAGTACAAAGTCTCATGAAAATGTGTAACTAACAGCTGACATATACTTCATCACTGTGCCTAGGATAGTGTCCTAGTTTGCTTCTTGTTGCTGCAACCAAAACAACTCAGGGAAGAAAGGGTTTATTTTATTTAATGGATTCCAGTCATCATCAAGGAAGTCAGGGCAGGAACTCAAGGCCAGAACCTGGAGTTAGGATCTGAAGCAGAAGCCATGGAGGGATGCTTACTGGCTTACTTCCCCATTGCTTGCTCAGTCTGCTTTCTCATACAACCCAGGACCACCTGCTCTGGGGTGACTCCGTCCACAGTGAGTTGGGGCCTCCCACATCAATCATCAATCTAGAAAATTCGGGAGACATGTCCACAGGCATATCCGATGGAGACAACTTCTCAAGTGAGGTTACATTTGACATAGAAGAGCTTTATAACTCATTTACTTTACCACATTAGCATGAGATTAAAACACAAGGCAGAGCTATGTAATATTATACCTCCGTGATAGAACTAGTCTTATTAACAAGGAGCAGTACTCTCCATGCAACATGGCAGGCAATGCAAGGGCCCTATCACTGTAAGTTTAATAGAAAGGGGATCTCCGTCCAGGAAAGAAAGGAACAAAAACCTTAGGCATTTCTGAGTTACATTAGCTGTCTAATTTAAATAGGCTATCACATTTCTGTTATTTGTTTAATAAAAACAGGCTATCAAATTGGGAATTTTATTCACATGTTCATTAAAAAAATGTTAATTAGAAATGTTCTCTCTCTCTCTGTGTGTGTGTGTGTGTGTGTGTGTGTGTGTGTGCCTGCACGTGCCATGGGCATGGATATGGAGGTTAGGGATCAACTTGGAGAGATTGGGTCTCTCTATCCACCTTGTTGGTCTTGGGGATCATACTCAAGTTGTCAGGCTTGGAGGCCAGTACCGTTACTGAGTCATACCACTGGACCCTAAAATATTAATTTGTTTGATGTCATATTAAACTAGGAACATCAAGAAACTAGTTTTTAAAAATATAATTATTGGGCAGTGTTGGCACATGCCTTTAATCCCAGCACTCAGGAGGCAGAGGCAGGGGGATCTCTGTGAGTTCGAGGCCAGCATGGTCTACAGAGCGAGTGCCAGGATAGGCTTCAAAGCTACACAGAGAAACCCTGTTTCCAAATAAAAACAACAACAAAAAATTTATTATTATTGTTGTTTTCCAGACAGGGTCTGACTATTAGGTAGCCCTGGCTGTACTGGAACTCAATGTGTAGAACAGGCTGGCCTCAAACTTAGAGACAGCTCAGTGGTTAAGAGCACTGGCTCCTCTTCCAAAGGACACAGGTTCAGTTCCCAGCACCCACAGGGCAGCTCACAACTGAGTACAATGTCAGTTCCAGGGAATTTCATACTCTCTAATGCAGATTAGAACACAGGGTGTTCACACTAAAATGTCTACATAATAAGCAGATTAGAATGCATGGCACATTTACCGCTATCCATTTGTCACTTCTAGGTGACACGAGCAATCAGCATCTTCTCTGGCTTTTATAAATATTCAATACAGTATTACCAACAATCTCAGTGGTCCATGGAGCACAGAACTGTGTCTAACTGTCCCTCTCCCTACATCATTTCTTACTCCACTGTAGCTGGTAAAAACATTAATTATGACTTTTGGTTCTAAGGAATGCTTAGAATACTGTCACCTGATTTTGACACAAGTCACAGTAAAAGACACAGAACGCTGCTCGGGGAGTCTGTTGGGCTTTGCAGAATTTCCCACTTTGCAGTGTGAGTGTGATCATGCAGATTCTGATGCCTTTGCTGGAGAGTGTGACCACCAGTCTACTTAGGAGGGACTTGAGAACAGACAGGATACAAGTTCTTGGGAAATATCAGATGTACTGCAGCAGGAGGTTAATGGACTTGTAAGAGAAACCCAAAGACTGAAAATAGCCACGTGAGGCCATATGAGAAGAAATCAGGATACTGAAAGAGTCTGGAAATAAATGCACAGGTTTTACTGCATTGCTCTTTTTCTTTCTTTCTTTTTTTTTTCTTTTTGTCCAGGGGATTGAACCCACGGCCTTGAGATTGCTAGCAAAGTATTTTATCTAGTGAGATAAACCTCTAACCCCAAATGAGATCATTGCCCAATTTTGTATTAAAAAAAATTCACTAAGGAAATATAAACTAGAATATACTAAAGGCATTCCATCCTTGCTCTCTTCATGTGGGAAGATTTGTGTTCACTGTCCAAATTGGAGACCAGTCTTTAATATAGGACCCTTATTTAGCTCCTCTATGATTTAAAAATAATTTATATTTTAAAAATGAAGTACTGGGGTTGTAGTTCAGTGGCAGAATGCTTGCTTAGCATGAATGAGACACTTGTTAGATCTCTAGAAGCACAAAAACATTGCAGAAAGTAACAAATTTTATAACAGCCCACCACAAAATTTTCTATGATATTTGCATGTACTTGTTGCAGAGAACACATGAGGGCAAAACACCCATACACATAAAATACATAACCCCAGGCTGGTCTCAACCTTGCTGTAGTTAAGAATGACCTTGAACTTCAGGGCCTTCAGCCCCCACTTCTCAAGTGCTGAAGTACAGGTGTGCACCACCAGATCACACTTTATGTTGTACTGGGCGCAGAATGCAGGGCCTCCTGTATGGTAGGCAATTACTCTACCAACTAAGCCACAGCTGCACCCTCAGTCATTTTTGTGTATGTATAGGTGTGAGCATGGCAGGGTACACATGTGATGGTTGGGAGACAGCTGTTGGGATTTGGTTCCTTCTTTCCACTATGCAGGATCTGGGGATCAAACTTGGGTTGTCAGGCTTGGTGGCAAGTGCCCTTCATACGCTAAGCCATCTTACTGTCCCTCAAATAATTTTAAATATTATCAAATCATTAAAAAAAAAAAAAAAAAAAAAAAAAACAAAAAGAGATAGCAGTTTTCACTGAGTTATCTTATAGTTTAAGGATGTGTGTGCTACTATGAACCTACTGGAGACATGGCATCAACATACAAAGTAGTGGCAAAATATATTCAGATAGGCACATACTCAGGGCTTGGTCTTTTCCACTGGGTTCTTCTAGACTCATGGTTCACATAGTAGGTCCTTCCAAGGACATCCTGTCTCTCTTCCCATCCTGGAGGTAGGGGAGAGGGTTCTGGTGGATGCTGCAAATGGCTAGCAGCATCTGGTTGGTCCAAAACAACCCAGCCAGGCTGAAAAACAGAATGGAAGCAATTAAATTATGCTGGACATTAAAAAAAATTTATAAATTATAAATAAAGGAGATTAAAGAAGAATTTTACATGTTCAATTTCAGAAATTACACATAAACAGAATTAGTACATGCTCAACTCTTGAGGCCAGGATGTACATATTTTGTAACCAAGGCTTTCCCACAACATTTAAATTTTGTTTGAGAATGTTTTAAAATAATTCAAAAGGCTTAAAATACAAAACAGAAATAAAAGGACAAAACAACAACAAACCAATACCAACTCCACCCCCGCCAAAAATGAACCATCACCAATAACAACAACAACAACAACAAAACAACCCCAATGTCTTTAAATATTACTGAACAATGATGGTGATGTTGGAAGGTACTGAGGAAATGAGAAACACAACTGAAAACAGTATGAGCCCAGCCACTCTCTAAAGCACAAGCAAATGAACAAGGCAGCCAAGGAGCCTCGCTGGTCATCATCTCTCCCACAGGCAAAGTGCCTTGCTTATGGTGGAAATCAGCAAACACCAGGGACATGAAAAGAGCTGTCAACTGAGAGGCCCAACAGAGACAGGAGAGTGAGAAACACTCATGACATAGGGGTGTGTGATGACGGACACATCACTCTGATACTCATGTCTGCATTTTCTACTTCTCCCCTGGACCCAGGACAGGCATGGGATCAGATCATAAAACAGTCAAACAAGGGATTAAAAAGGAAAGGGACAGGGAGTTGGTTGTTTAAGACTAAAAAGAGACAAAATGCATAGAGCCCTAAGGTAGTTTACAAAAGGAATTAAGTAAAAAAGGCATTAGGTATTAATGACTTGCTTTTATATATAATAAAAAACAACCTGGAAAGACTGCTCAGTGATTAAGCACATACTGTTCTTGCAGAGGACCTGAATTTGGTTCCCAGAGTCCCCATCAGGTAGCTAACAAATGCCTGTAACTACAGGTCTAGGGGATCTGATACCTAGAGGCTCTGCAAGTATGTGCACTCAAGTACTTACACACACACTGATACACCACACCTAAAAGTAAAAGAAAACTTTAAAAAACATCTTGCTAGGAGGTGGTGGCACAGGACTTTAATCCCAGCATTCACGGGGTAGAGGCACCAGATCTCTGTGAGTTCAAGGCTAGCCTGGTCTACAGAGTGAGTTCAGGACAGCTACGGCTACAAAGAGAAACCCTGTCTCAAAAAAAAAAAAAAAAAAAAAAAAAAGGAAAGGAAAAGAAAGAGAAGAGAAAGCTGGAGCATGTAGCTCACTTAATAAAGTGTGTGCCTATCATACAGGAAGCTCTGGGTTCCATCCCCAACACCACATACATCAGGCATGATGGAGCACCTCCCCAGGCCAAATTTGTCAAAATTCTGATAAAATTATTTTATGTTATAAAAATGTTTGAAAAATAATGAGAGCCAATTCTCAAGTTCAAATAGAAATACAAGTAAGATATAACCAATTTATCTTCTAAGGAAGAAGAGAGGCATGGAGATGAAGCTGTAAGAGAAAACACAGTAGGCTGCAGTCGTTAGCACTGGGCAGGGTGGTACAGACAGCTCAGAATAACAGACTAGGAAACAGAAAGAATGAAGCTCAGAGGGTTTCAGCATATGACAAACACATTTTCAATCTGTGGGAAAACAGGAAGATTATTTACATATTGGACACTTGTTGGGAAAAAATTAATTTGGATTCCTACCGTATACCAGGATACACTACAGACTAATATTCAAATGTTAAAAAAAAGCAAACCCAGCCAGGCAGTGGTGGCGCACACCTTTAATCCCAGCACTGAGGAGGCAGAGGCAGGCGGATCTCTGTGAGTTTGAGGCCAGCCTGGTCTACAAAGCTACACAGAGAAACCTATCTTGAAAAACCAAAACAAACCAAAAAGAGTATTTGAACAAATTTGGAAAATTTTAAAGCAATCTATTCCAAGCACAGGAAAATGTTACACATGGCAGCAAATCAGAAAGCACAAGAGAAGAATTATATACCTGACTTGAAAACCACAAATATATATGTGCCCAGGCTCTGCTAAATCAAAGTAAGATGCACAGGAATAGTCTTTGGTACCATGGCAGATAAAAATAATTTAATATATACTTGGTACTAAAGACCCTGTGTTAGCAATGGATGTGCAGGCAGATGCGGGCTGGAAAGGCACTGCTGGGAGGCGGAACCCGACAGCAGGGGGACCAAGAAGAGGTGTGGGAGGAAGAAGTGGAAAGAGTGTCTGAGGGGTTGGGGGAGGACCCACAAGAGTTACTTGGTGGGGGACTCTACCTGGAAAGCTAACGTATTCCTATCAATTTTTCTTTTTACTTCTACAGGAGACAATGCCTCATTTTCTTCCTGTCGCTCAAATTCCATTCCCCTCTTTGAAAATGTATATTCTCTCTTAAAGATCTGCTTTCATGTTGTTCATGTAAATTCAGTAAGAAAAGTGAAAAATGTAACTTAATTTAGGGGTTTAAAAGATGAAATGGTTTCAGTTTTTGGGTAGAATTCCTCTAAGAAACATGGATTATCTATTTTTCTCATAAAATAATTTTCTACCAGTCAAGGAATCCTAATTACTAGTCTTAAAGCCAATATGCAAATACCTACAATTTAGCGGAGTCAGAGGGGCCAGAAAGCAAGTACAAAGTGCTTAGACAAACATTTTACCCTAATCTTGTAAAATCTATACAGCTGGCCCTAAGGCACAAAGACAAAAGGAGCCATACGATACTCAGAAATGCAAGCTGCCCAGAGCATGCCTCCCACCAAAATTACAATTGTTTTCTTCAAATAGCAGAATTTTAAATATTTAGTCACAAACTAGATGTCAAAGAATCAGGCAAGACTTCTCTGGTCTTTGGCTACCCAGAAAGATAAATAAGCACATTTGTGTGTCTGAATTCCTTGGCCTTTTCGTAAATAAACGACACGCTTACATCTCCTGAAATTATAAGGTGGATTCTGAAGGAATTCAAACATTGCGATGGGAGGCCACAGCATGAAGCAAAGCCAGTCTACACCACAGAAGTGAACCGTGAATGAGATGCCTGTGATCTGTGTGCAGCTAAAGCCTGGAGCAGGTTCCTAAGGAATAAAACGCTGTTTAATTTTTCAAGTCTCTAGAAAAGTCTTATCTTTCTTTACACCAGGCCCTCTTCATTTCAAACAGAATTCCACAATGTAAGATACCCTCTGCACCACAATGCTATGTACAGACATTTACTACCCACCCTAATTCTTGAAAGCTTAAACTTTGGCTCCAGAGGCAGAGGTGTTTGCTTTATGATCTGTTCAGTCCCTGAGACCTTCATGGGGGGAAGGGGAGAGAATGAACTTCTTTGAGCTATCCTCTGACTTCTACTAGAGTACCATGGAAGACAGACAGACAGACAGACAGACAGACAGACAGACACACACACACACACACACACACACACACACACACAGCGTGTGGTTGAATAGATGGCACTACTTTTCAATGAACTCTGCCTCTGAGGGACCTTAAGGGTGACTGAGTGCAGTCCTCAGCCTTCTCACAGGTCACAATTTGCTCCTGGGGCTCAGTTGTCAAAGCCCACTCCATCCTGATACTCAATTTCTCTCCACAGACCCAAAATGTGGAGCTCTGTCCAGACACCCTGCTTGGACTTCGTGTTATTCCTGTCATTCATGAAAATCATGAACTTATACTTATTTCAAAGAAACACAACAAGAAACACAACAAGAATTACATATCCCAAAAGTTTCTTTTGTAATAATGTAATTATTATATAGTGACATATTATAGTAATTTTAAAGTAAGATGTCTATATATTTAGCTTTGCAAATACTAAACATTTTCTTATTCTGAAGGAGACAAGGGTGAGGTTTTGAAAAACTGAAGAGTCAATGATGTAATTATAATAAACACATTGATAACTATTGCATTTCCTATCTTCTAAACGTCTATCAACAGCAGTCACTCTACAGAAATGCCTTCACAGGAAAGAACCACTTAAGGAAGATTTGGTCAAATCAACATCCCAGTGATTTTTATTGCATGTGTGAGCTTCTCTGAATAACAGTATTGTTCCACCAAGGGTGTAAAATGACAGCAGACAGCTCCTTTGCAGCGTAATCAAATATTTCTGACAATCTCACCTCTAATTCCTCAGCCTGGTCTGCATTCTCATCGTCCGAGCCATTGGATTTAGGTAAGTAAGTCATTTTTAATCTCAGATAACCTTTAACTCTTGATTTGTGACTGTGGAAAAGAAAGCAATTATTCACAAAATTGAACACAAAGAAGAAAGTGTTTGTTTGGTGTCTTTCTTTCTTTCCTTCTTTCCCTTTCTTTCTTCAAGAAAAGGATACTATACAGAGTTTTTAGCAACTGAAGGGCCAGCTAGCAGGGCAAGCAAACACGAAGGAAAATATTTGCTTAGCTATTCTTGGTATGCACACATTCAATCAGTCCAAAATTAAAGGAAGAAAAAGGATTCAACTTCTACACGTCTAAAGGAATTAAATACAGGACTTCTCTCCAAACAGTAACAACCACAAAGCATGGGCTCCATTATTTTGTTTTAATATGTGTGTTATAACAAATAGGTTAAGGCAGTCATTTTAAATGAAAGAAAAATTAAGTGCCCATAATATACTGTTCAAATGCAGTTCTTAGTTAAAAAAAAAATAAAAGTAAATGATATGGCTTTCCCAGATGTCCGTGGTCTGTTATTTGGACTCATAATGGTAAATCACACTTTCTAAATCGACTTGGGCTATGTGGCACAAATGATCAAAAGGAGTTTCATTTACAACTTAAAATTTAAATTTTGGGGAACTGGAGAGGTGGCTCAGTGGATAAGAGTACTTTCTGTTTTTTACAGAGGACTTGGGTTTGATTTCCAGAACCCACATGGCAGCTCAGAGCTGTCTGTAACTCCAATTCCAGGGTATCTGAAGTCCTCTTCTAGCCTGCCTTAACACTGTATGCATATGGGAAACATGCACACACTCTGGTAAAACACTCATATACATAAAATAATAAGCACACCTTTATTCCCAGCACTTGGGAGGCAGAGGCAGATGGATCTCTGTGAATTCAAGGCCAGCTTGGTCTACAAGAGCTAGTTTCAGGACAGCTAGGTCTATACAGAGAAACTCTGTCTCAAAAAACCAAAAAGAAAAGAAAAAAAGATTACACTTGGCTGGGTGGTGAGTGGTGGTGGTAGTGGTGGTGCAAGCCTTTAATCCCAGCACTTGGGAAGCAGAGACAAACCTCTCTGTGAGTTCAAAGCCAGCCTGGTCTACAGAGTGAGTTCCAGGACAGGCTCCAAAGCTACACAAAGAAACCCTGTCTCAAAAAACAAAACAAAAACCATAAAGTTTAAACTTTTACTTAAAAAAAAAAAAAAGCAACCATATAAACCATGTAACTTAGTTCAGAAAAATGGAATTACAAGTATGCTATTTGGGTTTTAAATTCACTCTGTTCATGCTATGTTCTCTCATTATGTGTCTTCTAAAATATAATATTTTTCCTGAATTTGATTTTATGCATACCAAGTTGAACATCTGCTTTACATGAATAACAGCTATCTATATGATAAATATGGGGAATTGGTCTTTCCTAGTTTCTGTATGTGTTTTTAAAGATTTATATGTATGTGCATCTGTGTGTGTGCGCTTTGTATGTATGTCCACAAACACCAGAGGAGGGCATCAGATGCCCTAAGGCTGCTACTCAGCATGAATGTTGGCTCCACTTGTAATCACTGGGCATCTCTTCAGGTCACCTCAGTGTATTTTAACATCTAAAGTAACTAGAGCTTTGAAAAGAAAAATACAATATTTTTGAATTGCTTATTTACAGGGCGTTTAAATCCTGAATCTTCAAACAGGAGGGCAAAGTTTTAAGGAAGACACAAAAAAAACTTAGTATGTGTAGCTGGAGTGATGTCTCGATGGTTCAATTCCTAGTAGCCACATGGCAGCTCACAACAGTCTGTAATTCCAGTCCCAAGGGATCCAAAACTCTCTTCAGGAATTCATGGGTACCATACACATGTGGAACACATTCAGGTAGACACTCATTTACATAAAACAAAAATAAATAAATTCTCAAAAAATTAAGCTTAATATGCTATAATCTTGTATTTACTGACCTCCTTGGATGAAGAACGAAATCCTTAAATGTATATGGTCTCTCCATTCTTGGGTTTTCTGTCTAAAATGACAAAGGACAAAGGGGATTAAGTACTTTTCAAGAATGTTGATGAACTATAATGAGAGACATAAGTGAAGAATAAGAAAAGGCAGTTTTAACTTGTGACGAGGAGGCAGGCAGTAGAGCAACAGTACAGTGTGGGCAGAACCCTGGCACCAGATAAACATGGGATATGTGTAATATCAGCAGGTTGGCTTGGTTAGAGCACAGAGAGAATTCTAGAACAAAAACATAAACAGCCCGGAAAGGAAGCGTGGGTCAAATGTATTCATGAAAGCTTAAGGCTACTAAATACTGCACAGAGCCAGGAGTCTTGAACATGTGCAGAAGAATACTGTCTGCCTGCTTTTAAAGTTCACCAGCCCTTTGCTTTTTATTATGTCTCTGCTTCTCTGCATTGACTACCCTCCATGCCTTGAAACTTTATTCATTTATAGGGAAGTTCTCACTATGATGTCAGGCTAGATTCAAAGTTGTAATCCTCCTGCCTCAGCTTCCCAAGTGTCAGGATTATAGGAATGGGCTATCATATATAACATGAAACTGTTTCCTTAAATTTTCTGACACTCTTTTTCTTTGGTTCTTTTCCACTCTATCTTCTTGACTTTCCTTAGACGCACCCATGTTGACTAAGGTTTTCCACCTGGCCCTTTTTCTTGCTTATTTGGACAGTGAGAACCCTTAACCTCTTTTGTTTCATTTATATACACAATTTACTTGGGTACTGCTACTAGCTGCCTCTTTAAACTTTCATTTCTCCAACTTTATACTGAAATTAAATGTATTCTAAATATGCACCACATGTGTTCAGGATCCACCAGAAGCCAGAAGAGGGCACTGGATGCCATGGACCTGTGGTTTATGGTGGTTGTCTGCTATCAGAAGAGTGCTGAGAACTGAACTTGGATCCTCTGTGACAGTCATCTTAATATCTGAGCCACCTCTCCAGCCCCACCAGCCACCCTCTAAGTCCTTTCTACTGCTGTATTTCCAACTTGGTTCTTAGGGTCTCCAGTTTTCCCTGTTGCACAGTCTCTTACTTCCCTTCTGTGAGCCTAGGCTATTGCTGCTCTATTCAGTAGTATAATTCCAAACCCCTCTCTTTAAAACTCTGTTTTCATCTTGCTAACCAATTCCAGCAGTTCTGTGTCTTCTTGGAGCTCATGTAAGGAAATCTTACAGAACAATGAAATGGAAAATTGAGATGAATTTCAGGAAACAGCTTATACACTCATATTGGGAGTTATTAAATTAAAAATCACAAACATAACACCCAAAATTATGGACACCTATACTCACCGGTAAAGGATAGAGAGGGACATCCACTTGACCTAGGAAATCATCTCTTGTCTGTAAAAGAAAGAAGAAACAGCATTACTGATATATTCGGTTTCATTATTATGTTTAGAAGAGAAGCTCATCATTCACTCACACAAAATTAAGTTGTTGTTTGATCCACTGCAGCATTAAGGGAAAGTCAATGAAAAAATGCAAAGCAATGTGGTTCAATGCTTGATAACCTGGGCAACAGAAACAAAGCAGTCCTTCTGCAGATAATGATTATATACTCAAGCAGAGTATGAAACAGAATGCAGAACAAAATGGCAGGAGAAACAGGAGAAGCCACCCCTGAAGAAAGAACAGTTAAACAACCAGGAAGAACACATGGAAGTGTTTAGTCCTAATGCAAACATATGCAATGTTCTGGTGTGAGGGGTGGGAACACAAAGAGTGGAGTTAGCAGTGTTATGGGAAAGCAAGTAAGGAATCTCAGAAAAAAAGGACAATAAATCTCTGTAAGAAGTTTCCCTGACCCTCGCTGATCCCTGCACCGCCATAGTTAAAGGTCCAAGACTCAAAGGACTGAGCACAGATAACAGGGTGACAGTGTTTGTAATCCAGCTAAATTAAATTTCTAGCATGATAGTGAACACTCCTTGAGGAAAGAGAACACAGTGTACTCTCTCCATTAAGAACCGAATGTGGGGAAACTTACTAGACATGAAACAACAGGGAAGAATAAGGCAGAAAATTATTTGAAAAAACTACAAGTAGACAGTTTTTCCACATTTGGGGAAACAGTAGCTTAAGTTTCAATGAACTCATTGAACTGACACCTGATAATATGAAGGGCTGTGTGTGTGTAAGTTTCTCAAGAGCTGTATGCCTTCTTTTTGATGAGACAGTGTCTGCCTTTCATTGGTTGGCCTGGAGCTCACTGGCTAACGAGCCTCGGGAACCCACTTGTCTCAAACTCCCCAGCGCTGGGATTATAAGCCTCTCCACCATACCCAGTTTTTTATAGCGGGTCTGAGGATCAAACTCGGAACTCCACACTTTCACAGCAAGCACTTTAATGGCTGAGCCATCTCCCCAGCCTAAATTGAGGTCTTAAATTTTTAAAATTGTTGTTATGTGTGTACATATATGACTGGAAAGGAGCGGGCACATGCCACCAAACACAGGTCAGGGAACAACCCCATAGAGTGGGATCTAGAGACTGGACTGGGTTCCCAGCTTATGCCACAAGCAAGTTTACCCTGAGCCATCTCTCTGGCCTCTGAACAGTTCTGAACTTCTATATAAAATAAAAGACCCAAAGAACTGAACATCCAATATCAGAAGAATGACCAATTTCCCCAAACTAATGATCTGTTTGGTGGTCTGAGAAGGAGGATAAAAACCAGGGGCCTCCCCTGGAAAGTCAAGACACATGGCTGCCATAAATGCAGGGCAATCCAAGGTACTTTTTCCATTTACAAAGGAAAAATAACCGACTTAAACTCGTTCCTATGAGAGCAAGTGCATCTGTGATCTTCATTACCATGTCCCTGGCCAAGCAACTGTTCCACACCCTAAGTATCAAGTATGTCTCTGTGGCAGTCATTTCCGACATTTGAGGGGAAAGCAGCTTGCTTCAGGAGCAAACCCACACTCGGGGAAATGTAAGTTCTTAAAAAAGGCCTGAAAATATGAGCAAGAATTCAGGATGCAGATGACTCTGAACAGCATTGTTAGTAATGGGCACAGTCTGGTCACTAAATAATAATCTTCCAATGATTTCAATTTCATTTTCCCAAAAATATGTTTTAGAACCTAAAAAGGGGGAAAAGCCAATTCATTATTTAATACAAATTTCTATTAGAATTAGATTTTTTTCTTCTTTGTGTGTGTGAAATGTGGTGTGTGTGTATATGATTTGCGCGCACGTGTATGCTGAATTTAGCTCAGGGTCTATAAAGGCACCATCCTTGGTTCAAATAATTTTAAAAAACTGGAATGGAAAATCTTACCATTTCTGTCTCAAAGAAACCCCTCCTTTGTTAAAACTAGCTATTGAGTCCCAAATGAAGCATTTTTGTTATACACAGAAGGCACTAGCAAAGAAATAGTAATTTGAGATCATAAAGCCAAATTATCAGCAATTTTGATAGGAAATGAGACCACACAGACATCTAAAACACATTGGTCTCCCTGACGTCTTAGGTGCCTTCTGTCTGAGTCCTACCCTGCCCCCTACAAAGGGTCAGAATGTTCAGCAGAGCTGGATCAGTTACCATAAGCCTTACATGGCCTGCTCCACTCCCTATGACCTGCTGGCCTCCACCACCATGGACTTGAATGAGGACCCAAGATGCTCTGAGTAGCTTACCAAGCCCCAGGCCATGCTCTTCACTGCTCTGACAATGGGTTATGCTTTGGGATCATTTTCTGGTTTTCCCACCTCAGAGTCTGAAATGGGTTTCATCTTTATACAAGTAGTCCATGTGTTTTCTAGACATGACCTGCCTTTTAGTGGCCATGAGCCACCCTTCCATCCTTGACACATGGAATCTACCATAGAGAATCTGCACATTGTTGGTAAAGTTGGACAGATTAGAAGGTTATACATGAAATTACACATGTATAATACACTGAAGTTCAAGTTTGCTAAAATTATAAACATGACCTATTGATAAGACCTCCAACTAAAAAATACATCACTGATAGGTAAAATCTATAACTCAAGAGGTCTTATATTGAGATATAACATTTAACAGTTTAAATATCATCTAAGAAGACGTAAATAGTATTTAAAAAAAAAAAGTTAAAGTAATTCCTTGGACCTAAGAGATTGCTGAGTTGGTAGAACGTTTGCTGTGTAAGCATGAAAATCTGAGTTTGGATGCCCAGAGCTTACATAATAATATGGGCATATTGGAGTAAAGAGACAGCGACTAGGACCTGCGTTTGGTTCCCAGAAGCCACATGGCAGCTCAAAAGTGCCCGTAACTCCAGATTCTGGGATATGATGCTTTCTTCTAGGCTCTACAGGCACTGCATACACATGGTACACAGACATGCAAGGCAAACACCTACACACATAAATAATAATAATAAATCAAAAAGAGCTGGATGTGATACTGAGAACCCATAATCCCAGAACTACAGTTAGAAACAAAGAGGGTCCCTGAATGTCATTGCCCATCCAGTCTAGCGCAATAAGTGAGCTCCAGGGTCAATGAGGGCAATAGAGAAAGACATTCGACATCAACCTGTGGCCTCCATATGCACACACACCCTATAAACAGAAGCACACTTATGAACACAGTATACACAAAAGTAAAAACAATTTGTAAGCCTCTCTGCACTGCATATAGTATGATCTCATTGTTTAACTGCAGAGTTAAATACATTTTCATTGCCTCAGCTTACAGGAAAACAAATTTACAGTTAGCACTAGCAGGCTACATAGTGCTGTTAATTTAGGGTTTATCATTGACACACACACACACACACACAATCATACATACAAAAATAATAAATAAATCTTTAAAAACAAAGTAAGATGTCTTTTGTCTTTTTATGTAGGCTGCCCTATCAAACTTTTCTATAACAAAATATACCAAAAAGTACAATTTTGTTTGTTGTGATTTTCCCTAACCATTAACAGTCACATGGACAATCCTTGAAGAAGGACATAGGGGAAGTCACAAAACAAAATTAAGGGCTGGAGAGATGGTTCAGAGGTTAAGAGCAACGACTGCTCTTCCAGAGGTCCTGAGTTCAATTCCCAGCCACCACATGGTGGCTCACAACCATCTGTTATGAGATATGGTGCCCTCTTCTGGTATGCAGATATACTTGGAAGCAGAATGTTGTATACATAATAAATAAAATCTTTAAAAAATATTAATACTATTAAAACAGGAAAACAGAAGATGGGACAAAACGACTGAAATGTTGACAGTTTATAACTGAGTGGGGCACGCATTCACTGCATCATCCCTTCTACTTTTCTGTGTTGTCTGAAAATTTCCATAATAAAAGGTTTTAAATATTAGTGGAAAGGTGGTTTTTAATGACACAGGCAGTTTTCATGAGGGTGAAATGAATAGATGGTGTTGTGGGAGGTGAGTCATGCTGAGTGTGTTATAAGGCCACTAAAGGTACTCAGAGCCCTGGGAAGGCACCTCAGCGGATGAGGTGCTTGCCTACAAATGTGAAGCCCAGAGTCCCAATCTCCAGAACCTGCATAAATATCATGCGGGTGTGGCCACCACCTGTAATTCCAACCTTGAGGGAAAGAGGCAGGAGGTGTCCCTGCCCGGACAAGCTGGCTAGTAAAACTAGTCATGTCAGCAAGCTTCAGGCTTGATTGAGAGACCCCCATCTCCAAGAGCAGAGTGAGAGACCAATGAGGATGATACCTGACATCAACCTCTGGCCTCCACAAATATGTGAAACATGTGCACCCACAGAAAAAGTAATCAGAGAAAACAAAGAAAGTCCACGCCTCTGGCCAAGGTTGGGAAAAGAGAGACAGGTAAAAGGGAAACTGATTTTCCAGGAATGTTAGGTAATAAGCTCTAGCTAGCCTTAACTGTCACTCAACACTGGCAGTACGAGTGGACTTGACCTGTGTCCCATGCTACTCAGCTGGGAACACTATTCATCAGGTTGTAGTCATCCTGATGGAATTTTCCCTCCAGACACTTGTTTTTTCCTTCTGGTGTGATTTTTACCAAAATAACCTTCCCTAAGCAGATTTCTCCAGTTGGATTTTCCTGCTACAGGGTGAGAGTCCTGTCAGCCTGTGGTAGAGCAGGGACACATTACAACATAATGGCACCGAGCTTCAGTCCTCAGGGCCCGAGTTGGAATATGAACATTTGTATCCCTTCATTTCTCATGCAGAAATATCTAGGTTTTATTTTTTAAATATGGCATATGAAATATATCCAGATTAACTCTTTGTAAAAGAATGCATCAAACTTTCCTTCCTTCAAGTTAAAAGTCCTAGACTTTTGATATAATGATGGTAAGCATCCCACATCGAACTCCACGAGGAGGCCTTTGTGGTACCTTCT